CATATTTTAATCTCATTTTTTTAACAATGACCAATTTCCATTTTATGCAGTGGAACTGCCGTGGCCTTATCAGAAATATAGATGGTGTAAATTATTTTATGGACGAGTTGAGACCAATCGCCCTCAGCCTGCAAGAAACACATTTAAATGACACTCATACACAAAATTTCCGTCGGCACCAAGTTTTTAGGAAAGATAGACTCTCCCCAAATACGTCGGGAGGAGTGGCACTGGTGGTGCAGAGTGGTGTTGCTTGCTCGGAGGTACCCCTTTCTACGCCCTTGGAGGCTGTAGCGGTACGCCTTCTTGTTGACCGCACAGTTGTTTCTCTCTATTTGCCACCTAACTCTCAACTGCATATCAGTAAACTTAAGTCACTTGTAAAACAACTACCTCAACCTTTTTTAATTTTAGGCGATTTTAATGCCCACCACCCTTTGTGGGGTAGTGCTCGCCAGGATTCACGTGGAGGTCTCGTAGAGCAGTTTTTATTATCATCTGGGTTGTATCTTTTTAATGGGAGGGAACCTACATTTTTTAGTGCAGCACATCAATCATTCTCATCTATTGACCTTTCTATTGCATCACCAATTTTACTTCCATGCTTTTCATGGACTGACTTAAATAACCCTTTAGGGGGCGATCATTTTCCTATTGTTTTAGAAAGCACGATGCCAATTCCTTCCATTCCGACACCACTTCCAAGGTGGAAATTGGAAAAGGCTGATTGGTCTTTTTTTCTTTTGGAGGCTTTTATTGATTCATCTGTTCTCGTAAATATGAGCCCTGAAGATGCCACGCTGTACGTTACTGAAGCGATCATAAATTCCGCATCACACGGTATCCCCCAGACCTCTGGACGACTCCCCAAGAGGTGCAAGCCATGGTGGAACAAGGACTGCTCCACAACACGCAAGTTGCAAAACAAGGCATGGTGCATCTTCAGACGTTATCCCACTCATAGCAATCTACTTGAATTCAAGAAAAGAAGAGCCAATGCTCGCTGGACACGAAGGCAAGCTAAAGGCAGTTCGTGGAGAAAGTATGTAACCTCTTTGAGTAGTTTTGTTTCTTCAAAGGAAGTGTGGGATCATCTTAGGAACATCAGGGGAGACTATCGGTCTTTCAGGATACCTCTTTTTCCATCAGCAACATTGCTTAAGGAACAAGCAAATGTTCTTGGTAAACACTTCCAGGAAGTGTCTAACTCGGCCAGTTATAGTGAATCTTTTTAAGAAGTTTCGATCAGTAGCAGAAAAACAAACTATTCCTTTGTCTGGTGGTCAGGGTGCTCCTTATAACAAGCCATTTACACGGTGTGAGCTTGAACTGGCTCTCGGCGTCAAAAAAGACTCTGCGGCTGGGCCAGACAGGATTCAATACGAGATGTTATGGAGACTATCGCCTGAATCTTTAAACAGTTTGCTCACCTTTTTTTTAATTTATTCTGGGATGCTGCTAGTTTTCCTGACTGCTGGAAAATGGCACACATAATTCCTCTACTGAAACCCAGCAAAGACCCCTCCTTAACGACGAGCTATCGCCCGATTGCATTGACAAGCTGCCTGGGCAAAACCTATGAGAGACTTATTAATCGCCGTCTTGTCCACTTTTTAGAGGCAGAGAGTGTGTTTGATAGAAATCAGTGCGGCTTCCGAGCGGGCCGCTCCACGGTTGACCACCTTGTCCACCAGGAAACTTCTATTCGGGAAGCATTTGTCCATCGCCAGCATTGTGTTTCTGTCTTCTTTAACCTAGAAAAGGCTTACGACACGACTCGGAGATGTGGGATCCTTCGAGACTTGTACTCATATGGTGTCCGAGGTCGCATGCTTCGCTGCATTCAAAGTTTCTTGACGGGTTGGACCTTCCAAGTGCGGTTAGGCTCCATCCTGTCGGATGTTTTTCCCCTGGAGAATGGCGTCCCTCAGGGTGGAGTATTAAGCGTTACACTCTTTGCCGTGAAAATTAATAGTCTGGCTAAGGTTATACCACCATCTGTATCCTATTCAATGTATGTGGACGATGTGCAGATATCGTTTTCCTCTTGTAACTTGTCCAGCTGTGAACGGCAACTGCAGCTCACAATCAATAAGATGAGCAGATGGGCTGACCAAAAAGGCTTCTGGTTCTTCCCCGAAAAGACAATCTGTGTTTCATTTTCCCTCCGTCGTGGCCTGTTTCCAGATCCAGTGTTGCACTTGAATGATGTTGCTATATCTGTAAAGGAGGAACACAATTTTTTAGGAATAATATTTGATAAAAAGCTCACTTTTATACCCCCTTTGAAAGAGTTGAAACATAAATGCTTACGTTCATCAAACATCCTCAAAGTCCTGTCGCATACGTCCTGGGGGTCTGACAGACGGTGCCTCCTACGACTCTATAACTCCTTGGTGCGGTCCCGCCTGGACTATGGCGCGATTGTTTATGGGTCGGCGCGTCCGTCTGCCCTAAAGATGTTGGACCCCGTCCATCATCTGGGGTTCCAACTTGCCACGGGGGCATTTCGAACATCACCTGTGCTGAGCTTGTATGCTGATACACATCAAATGTCCCTGGAAAGACGAAGGCAATATTTGAGTCTTTGCTATGCTTAAAAAATACTCAGCTATCCTCAACATCCAACTTTTGGTGCCCTCCAACGTTCTAGATCCTTCCGACTGTTTGAAAACAAGCCTAGTATTGTTCGGCCACTGAGTTTCAGAGTTCAAATGATGACAACATCGCTCCATCTTCCCTTTAGTGACGCTGCTTTGCTGGAGAGCAATGAGAGAGTTGCACCTTGGGACCTTCTACCAATCTCCTGTGACTGGTCACTGTCCAAGTACAGAAAGAGAGCTGCTTCACCATTTGTTCTTCAACAGGAGTTTTTCGATTTACAACAGAAATACAAGGACTATTTGCATTTATACACTGATGGGTCTAAAACCTCTACTTTTGCGGGATGTGCGGTTTATTCCAATGCTTTCAGGAAAGTTCAACAACTCAACACTCTTGCAAGTATTTTTACAGCTGAATTGTATGCCATTTTAATGGCTGTGGAGTATTTATTAGAGAACAATATCACGAAAACAATTCTGTTTGTCGATTCCCAGAGCGTTCTTCTAGCAATTTCGTCCTTAACAGACAGCAAGAACCCTCTTGTGCAACGTCTTCGGGTTCCGTTAAATCAAGCTCTTCAGCAAGGACATCTGATCAAATTCTGCTGGGTTCCAAGCCACGTGGGTATTCCTGGCAATGAGAAAGCAGACTTGCTTGCTGCCTCTTTGAAAGAGTGCCCAAAACTGCCCCTTGGCCTGCCACACCAAGACCTGAAACCGTTCATACAGAAATCGATTATGAAGTCATGGCAGCTGGACTGGGATATGGAAGAAGAGAACAAACTCCACGTCATCAAGCCCCTTCTGGGGGTATGGGAGAGCTCTTTTCATAAAGACCGTCACGTTGAAGTTCTTCTTTGCAGCTTAAGGATTGGGGATACCCGTTTGACTCACCTGCACCTTCTTTGCGATGAGGACGTTAAGCTCTGCGACAACTGTGGTAAAGCTATGACTGTCCTGCACATCCTGTGGCATTGTAAATCTTTAAATCAACAGCGCCAATCATGTTTCCCAGAACTGTTCCGGGATCATCTTCCTTTTCATCTATATTTTCTACTTGGTGATCAACCCTTGGTACCGTTCAATCGAGTTTTAAAATTTCCGCATAAAACTGGCCTTTTACACCAGCTGTAGCTTGCAGTTATTTTAGATTGCATTTCTAAGCTTCTTATAAAAACCTCTGTTTTGGCGCAATATGGCCTAAGTTGCTCTTGCGCCATTAAACCCCAACCATCATCATCAAGTGTACTAAACAAAAGGGCTGCAAGAACAAAAAATATGAATTACAGGACAACTGCATTGAATTTAAGTGGCATAGCTTGGGCAAGTCACAACGTCCTCACAAGTTACTATGAAAACTGTGGCGCAGTGCCAGCTTTTATTGTTCTCGTGTCCCCCGTTTAATAGTTCACACTAGACAACTTCTTGACCCGATGAACAAACTGAATTTTGTTTTGAGTTGTCATGTGCTGTTTCAACAGCCCACAACAATGAACATTTTTGAGGGATAAATAAGCTTTTGCGTTACATTTCACGAGTGTTTCATGCGTAGCATACCTGGTTATGATCAGTAGGCCTATGTAAAGGAAAGCATGAAATATCTTCTGTGTATGTGAAGCCACTCATAAGGCGAATCATTTTTTTATCTTGCATCATTATTTATATAAATTTCTGATAAATCAAACAAAATTCGTGGCTTCCTGGAGTTTGAAATCATGCAAGTATGATGTATTTTGTAATGGTAGTGTAGTAGAAATACAATCCCCTTTGTCTTGTTTGCATTGCATGATACCCTTTTAAGATATACCTTCTACCATTTCAGCAGTGTACCAGCCTAAGTCTGCTATCATTTTTCTCTCCCAAACTTCCAAGACTCGGCCAACGGCGCTTGCAATGTTCAGAAGACTGCGTCGTCTTCCCCATGGACATGTCGGCTCATAATCACCATCATTTTAATCTTGCATCTCACAAGATTAGGTCGTGATCTTACATCATCACATAATCACCATCACAGGATGTGGCATTGCGGGCGTACCTTGCACGGGCTGCTGCCTTTCTGCAGTGCCGTGGCTCTCCTAGTTCAATAATTACTATTATTATTATTGTTTATATTATTTTTATTATCATCATTGATGAGCGCAGTGGTCTTTCATTGACATGCCTAGCTCAACTTTAACTTCAAGTAACATGGCTCAAAGTTTTAGAGTTCTTGGATGCGCACGGTTCTTTTTTTGCTCTGGAGAGAACACACCAGAGCATTTCTTTGAGTGGCCCAGTATTTAGTACTTGCGAACTTCAGATATGACTATGAATACAATATTAGCTTTGCTAGTAGAACCCCCAATCGTGTGAATCTCGAAAGGCTAGACTTCGTACAAATAGCAGTAACATGACAGCTCACTCGTCGGTGTCTATGCCTCCTTCAATGCCCAGAAGGTTGGGGCTTGTGGAACCAATGACCGCCAGCACAGCCTCAGCCAGCGGTGTCAGTGTGTGGTCGTTGCGCCCTGCGCCTGTGGAAGAAAAGGTTCTCTTTATGTTTTGTTTGAGCATTAAATTTTGTCTGATTGCAGCAGGCCCATTCATTGTTTTGATTTGATTAATAGCTTTATATCTCAATTGCTTCTATAATTTAGCCAAGAAAATGAGAAAGTGGAAAAAAACTTCTTTAGCACACAGAATGTGTGCTTCATTTTTATGTGCAGTAAAAACATGTATAGTAAACTCACCGGTCGTGGAGTCTGCTCTCTTCGAGAGGGTCAGTTCAGCGCGGCTGCGAGATTTGAGGTTTTGCCACTGCTTTTTGAGTTGCGGCACAGTGCGCAGCGTCGATGGATGCCGCGAATTCGCCACGGATGCGATCTCCTGCCACGCTTTTCTTTTAGCAGCTTTTGTAATATTGTTGTTAATTTTGTTCTTAATTATACGTTTTCGTTTCTCGATTTCGTAAACCAATTGAAAATTATCATCTTCGGACCAATTTGATTTCTTTACCTTGGGAGGCATCCGTGATGGACCGGCGACATCCATGTCTGCGTGCAGCAAACTCGGACGGCCGTCTGCTAACTTAATGATCGAAACATAATTATCAACTCTTATTGCAAACGCTTCCGAGAAAATACGTCCAGCACATTTCTTTTTCTTAAATAATTGGGCGTCTAAGGACACGCAAGCATTTCTGTAGACAACTTTATTCGGCGTACGCACTGGACGTCGACGACGGTGGTGACAGACGATAGCGTACGAAGCAATATGACAGCGTTGGTGCGCACTAAACTCTACCCAAAAGCGCGCATCGCTGACTTTTTTCTTCTTCTATTTTGCACAGAACCACGGTATGTGCGAGACATGTGCCGCAGTTTTGCGACTGTCGTCGTTTCTCTTTGTCCAAACCGATCGCAGCGTAGCAGAAGCAGACGATCTCTCGCTTGCCGCCTTGCGTCTCCGGCGCTTTCTTATTTGACAAGAGGTCACAACTCGTCACTTCCACGTCCGGAATCTTCGGCCGTGTTCCAAAATTTACTCGGTCTCACTGTAGGGTAAAGGTTTTGTACCTTTGCGATCGAAAACCTACCCGCGTCCGGCATTACTAGATTTTTGTTGTCACGTGACATGATCTGCCAGGGTAACTCGGATCCATTCGAGTAGATTTGGAACGCACCCTCTGTTTCCTCCGGTATTTCTTCAGGTTTCCCTAGATTCCCTCTCTAGGTACTGCTCACTCCGTTCTTGGCGGTCTGGGTGCCAGACTCAAGTCCGGACTTGAGTCACGACCGCGCCGGAGACCGTGCTGGATCCGTCTTGGTCTCGGTCACGGTCTCAGCCGAGACCGCCAGGCGCCTGAGTCAAGACTTGAGCCAAGACTTGAGTCAAGACTTTCTAGCAAGCGGCCCCAGTATTCTTAGGAAACCAGCTAGGTCCTCGCGGTAGATACGAGATGAAATCTTTGTTACGAAAAAACAATTAAGGCTACAATCCACGCCGTGAAGATGGTTAGACAAGTGCGAAGCTGTGGTATCACCTGCAACGATTGCTCACTACACTGTTTACCCTTTTCTTGGAAACGCCAACAAGTGGGGCTCCTGTCCTTGACGTCCCAATGAACTTCCGGTTTATAAAAAGAATGAACGACGAGTTGCCACAGCAAGGAGGCTACCTTAGCACCGCTGCTTGATATGTAGATGAAACGTTTTACTACCGATTCTCCAGGTGAACGCCAAAGGAACGAAGGATTGCGAGATTTGTTAAATTGTTAAGCAAACTTGAGTTCTCGAAGGTGTAATATTGTACAGCCGGAGGCCCTCATTAAATCTCCAACTTTGTTGTTCGTGTAGCTTTCTAGGCTTGGTGACATAAGCAAGCTCAACAGGCTTGCAAAGGCGGTGCGACAATGGTAGCTAAACTCGTGGAGCAAAACATTATTCTCTTTTTGTCCGTAGCGGGGGGAGTGACCAAAAGAACGCCGCAAAGTTTCCTCCTCCCTGCGCGCGCTCAACTTCGCAACTTTTGACGAAAAATCTCCCGCGATCCCTAGGCGGTGCACGAGAGCACGAGACAGCGCGGGGAGGCGAGCGTTCACGCCGCTCGCTGTACGTTGTCTTTGAGCTCTCTAGCGCCGACAATCCCGTCATGCCTCGCCCAGGCATGACGGGAGGAGCGAGAGCAAACAACGAGAGTTCGTCAACTACGATGAGGCCTTCGCACAGCGGAACTGAAAGAAAAAGTTGGTTTTCTGCTCGAAATCGCGTCCCGCGGGTCACAAACTCAAACGCGAGCTTGAATTGTAAGCGTCTGATATTTCACGAAGGGAGGAATCGACGGCCCATGTTTTATTTGCAAAATTTGAGTCGTTTTGTAGCCGTACAGACGCTGAAACCTATCAGTGTGTAATGAAAGGCCAAGGGCAACCACAGAGGCCGCGAGATCTGGCATCATTTGTGTATGGGTGAAAAGTGGAACCTTTTTCGACAAAGCTCCCACAGCAGAAACCTGTGATGCATTCACTCAGCGTCCGGGAAGGCTAAACATGGAGACGTTGCCCGAGACTCAAGCAAAGTCATATTTGAACGGCAGCTATCTTGCCCCGTCATATTTTGTTTTGAAAAATCTCTCGTTCTCAATGCCCTCACCAGGGAAATAAAAAGTCTTACGAAACATACTGCTAGATGTTCAAAAGAACTAGATTTAAGCCGTATCCTTTCAGTGGTTCCCTCATAATACTATGCTTAAAACGAAGCAAGCTCTTGCGAGTACAGTGCCATCAATTTTCTCAAGTGTAGGCTGTTTTGTAGTCAGCTGGTTTCGGAAACTTACACCGTAGATATCTCTGACAGCCGAGTTGCTTAAGTGGAAGTCATCGAAAATGCAAGTTCCACATTGCAGCAACCAACGTTTATATAGATGAACGATGGCAGCGACTGGCACTCTCGCATTCCCACCCATCACGTCGAACAAAAAGGCGCTAGTTTCGGTTTGAGGTCGGTACTTTTCTACAACATCTGTGGCGACAGCATCAGTCTGCACTCGGTGCATTCAGCAAGTTCGTTCGGGGCCGGTTCTCCGTGCTGCACTCGGCGGGTGTAATGCGTTAGAACTCTAACAGTGCAAGTCTGGATAGCGAATCGGGAGCCCCTCACTGGCCTCGCCGGCGGCCATTGCTTGACAACAGGCAATACGCCGCGTCCTGTGTAGTTCTCCCTTCGTTTTCGTCCTTGTTGCTTTGGCCTATTACACCATGAGGCAATACACGCAAGTCTAAGGGAGAAACCGCAAAAATTGGAAGCTTGTACGCGGTGCTCGAGGGCGAGCATTTTATGACGTGCTGCGATGATTATGTCGGGTTCTTGGAGATCAAATAGACATTCGTCAAGCGTTTGAACATCGATTAAAAACAAATTGGCCGGAGTACGATTGACTTTATCGACGTCGCTTGCTTCGGTTGCTAAATAAATGGCACGTTCAGCGACTGAACGGCACGCTCCGAGTTTCAGTTTGTCACGGAAGCCCTCACAGCAGTTCAAAGAAAAAGCTTTCACCATGAACCACTATGTACAGTCGCCGGCCATATGAGCTCCCCCGGCCGAACGCCGACCGGATCAGCGAAAATCCCACACGCGGCGCTTCGAACGTTGCCCCGCATTGGGAACCGGGCTATTGGGACCGAACCATTCCGTTATCAAAGGGGTGGACGCATAGCTTTTATCGGAATTTCAGCCTTTAGAAGTGTGAATCACGAAAACATGGCCGATTAGAATCGCCGTCTTCGGGTGTTGGCACCAAGTGTTCGGAGAGGACAGTATAATTGCTGATAAACTGGAGCGTGCTTTAGGCGCAGATAAAGCAGCACGGCTCGATCGATGCTTACAAATGTAAAGACCCTATGTTTGATATGATATTAGGCATGACAACAATGATCCCTCGGCAAGCGAGAAGTGGCTGACCAGGAAGCCATCTGCAAAGTCATCGTGTAGATAATTACCCTTGGCGAAGCAACACGCTACTGAGCGCAGAACAATAGAGTCTCTGCGATAAAACGCGTTCATGAAAAGTGCCTGAATCTTTATTCTGCTTCGACACAAATCTTTTTCTTTTTGTTATTTATATCATATCCTTATAGATTAAATAAATTATTTCAAAATCGCTTGTCATTGTCTGGTCTAGATTTAAGAAAGATTGTAAGAAAGTTTGTGCGTAGGATTACTCTTCGGGTAGGAAACATTTAAATGACAAACCGGTTTTGCAAATAAAAAATGTAGCATATAACATGTCAGAGATATGATGCAGCGAAGAATTGCGATAAGCCGTCTGCGCTTATTTACAACCGGAAGCGGGATTGTAATCTGCCGTGCTTCAGATTCTCGTTGCAAAACACGGAATGCTATGAAACTTCCTGCGTCCAACCCTTTGATAACTGAATGGTTTGGTCCCAATAGCCCGGCTCCCAGAACGCGGCAACGCTCGACGCGCCGCATGCGGCATTTTCGCTGCTGCGGTCGGCGTTCGGCCGGGGGAGCTCATATGGCCGGCGACTGTACAAGCGGTCAAAACGAGGCGAATGTCCCCAGTAAACGCATTCTAACTTATCGTTTGCTGAGCTTTGATGACTCCGAAACCACGGATGACTCCTCGATAACTCTCGGTAGCCCTTGTCTCATTAAACACATTACAGTTAACGCCCAACAAAGCCGCCCTGGACCCTCAACCACACAACATTTAGTTAAACAAGATTGGTATTCTAACGCGTTAACAGTTAATAATGCGCACATGATTAACTGTTATTTGCGGAAACGCGATAGAAGTTGCATGGTAGAGAACAACCTACTAACATAATAATATTGAGTTTTTCCGTTTCTCCTATAGCATGCATAAGATCGTGTCAAGCGATGACTGCCGGTGGTGCCGCTCGACCCCAGCAATACAGGCCTCTATCCGCGATCTAGCCTCCTAAGAAATCAGTGGTGCCAGTGCTATTAGACATAAATCGTTTCTTTGCATCGGTACACCCATACCTGCCGGATGTCGGGACGAGGCGCAAAACCGTACATCCGGCCAATATTGAAGCCGGTTTTCGGCCGATATTGCCTCGACACTCGCCAAGAAGCAACGTGCTGTTTCGGCGACTCGTTTTTGTCATTTATTTGTTCAGCCATATTATTGGGTCCCCGGCCACAGTGTACACCCTAAAAAAGAAATGTACTGTGGTAACTAGACCTTGACGAGAAGCAGGCACGTAGCCAGAATTTTGTTTAAGGGGGGGGGGGGGGAAGGGGGGGGGGGCGCCGATGGCAAAGTGTTCTATGAGGGGGAGGGAGGAGAGGAGGCCCCAGCAAAATAGAAGATTTCGGGGGGGGGGGGGGGGGGGCGGGCCTTCTGCTTCCCCCCCCCCCCCTTGGCTACGTGCCTGACGAGAAGGGGTATTGTAGTTTTACATCTTTATAAAAAGGTGTAGTGCATTATCACACGTTTTAAT